ATTTATTAAATCAAATACATATATTACATATATATATATTTATTATATAATGTTTATTGTTCACTTAAAAGCTTAAAAAAAAAGAGTGTGTGATAAGCAAACATGTATATATATATATTTTTTTTTTAAATTATACAACCTATAAGACAAGGTAATTTTTTAGAAATTATCTACGATATTTTTTTTTAATAATTTTACTAATTTTTCGTTTTTTTTTTTTAATATGGTAATTTATTTTTTTGTATAAATACAGATGAGCGACGATGAGCTTGTACAAAGTCCCTATAATCCCAATCAACAGGTTCCTAGATCTCAAATAGATGAGCATGTAAATACATGTAAATTTTTGATTGGTCCTAATCATGATATTGAAATTACAATGACATACTACGATGAGGTAATACATTACATATGTTTCTTAAAATTTGTTTCTTAAAAAAAACGTAGTCATCAAGTGATATAAGACAAATATTAATTGATATTGAATTAATACAATAGACAAAACCCTTAACATCTTACCAGAAGTCACTTCAGGAGGGGAGTTCACTACAGGATAGAAGTTCACAACAGGGAGGAAGTGAAATGGCAATTCTTCCAATTTCTGAGGGTAAATCTCCTCAAGAATGGAGATCACCAGACAAACCAGTAAAACAGGTAATATCACAAAATAGATTACAAATGGTGTAAAAATAATTGTTTGAATGAAATCAGACATATATTAATTGAAATTGATTTAATACCAGCTAAGACCTGACCCAAAACTGCTTCAAAGTAGTGAAATCTCAGATGAAAAAGATATAGACTTATGTGGATCAGAATGTTGTTTGGACAATAAGGCGAGATTACGGATGACAGACATATGTAAAAAAAGATATCATAAAATGGTAAATAAGAAAAGCAAGGTAAATGTAACAACTTATAATTTGAATGATTTGAGATTTTCTCCCTTTTTTTTTCTTATAAAAATCATTTCTTTTGATATGATAGTCACTTAAGAAACTAACATTAGACAGTCATACTGATGACACTTCTTCATCAAGCACTGACTCGACATTTTCACTTCATGACACTATGCCACATAAAAAGAGAAAAATTACACATAATTTGGTTGAAGAATATATGGAACAAATGGCTCCTGCTTCACAAGATGAATCTAGTTCACAACAAGCTTCATTAGAAGTTCCAATGGACGAATCTTCTTTGTCTGAAGAGGTTTCACAAGAACAATCAGATCCCATTAGTTCTTATGCTGAATCAACAGATGATTCGGATGATACAGAAAATCAAAGAATGAGAAGGGACATGAAACATGAAGAAATGTATACAGAAGAAACAAAGGATGTAGGAATGTCACATTTTTCGACAGAAGTGACTACTCCATTTGAAGTTCAAATGGAAGAATCTTCTTTGTCTGAAGAGGATTTACAAGAACAATCACAACCATCTAGTTCTTCTAAAGCGCCAACACATTATTCGGATGTTTCACAACGACCAAAAATGATTGGTAAAAGGAAACATGAAAAAATAATAATAGAAGAAACAAAGAAGCCTGAAAGATCACATACTTTATCAGAAGTGACTAGTCCATTAGAAGTTGGATTGGCAGGACCTTCTTCGTCTGTTCCAAAAGAACAATCAAAACTAGTTAGTTTTCCTGCTAAGAAAATACAAGAATCAGTTAGTTCAGAACGGCAAAGCAGGTCTAGGAAAAAGAAATATGAAGAACTAATGGAGATGGATCCGGTTAGACCAAGACACCGAAGTAGGTCTAGGAAAAGGAAATATGCAAGAATGCATATAGAAGAAAATAAGGAAGCTAAAAGGTCACATCTTTCGACAGAAGAAACTACTCCATTAAAAGTAGAAATGGAAGAACCTTCTTTGTCTGGAGATGTTCCATAACAAAAATTACAACCAGTTAGTTCTCCTGCTGAGACAATACATGAATTAGATTTTCCACAAAAGGCAAGTAAATTAAGGAAAAGGTCATATGCAAGAACGGATATGGAAATAGGTAGTTTACAAGAAGGAGGTAGCTCACAACAAGCAGATAGTTCAGAAGAAGCAGATAGCTCACAAAAGGGAAGTTATAAAAAGAAGGAAACGTTCTGATTCTTCTTTAACAACAGATGAAAATAAAAGTAAAAAAATTGGATTAGAAGAACCTTCTTCGTCTGTTCCAGAAGAACAATCCAAACCATTTGTTTCTTGTGGTAAGACAAAACATGAATCAGATGTTCCACAAAGTGCAGCAAGTAGGTTAAGGAAAAGGTCATATGTAGCAGCACAGTCCAAATTAGATAGTTTAGACGATCCTGGTGTCTCATATCAAACACATAGTTCACAAGAAGAAGAAAGTTCTCAAAAAATAATTATAAAAGTTTGTGATTCTTCTTTATCATCAGATGAAATTTAAGATAAAAAAAGATATAATATAGATGGTATTATTGGCTAGGAGACTTAAATGTCTTCTATGTTAATTATACACTTAAATCGTTAATGTTTTATGTAAATTATATTATATATTGTGTATATATTTTTATATAAATTATTCCTTATATAAATGTATTTAATATTACATTATAAATTATAATTTTATTATAATATCTGTAATATATTATTAAATAATAATATATTTCTATCAAATAATTAATGTACGATCATCTTCGAATATAAAAACTGTCTTTTATTAAAAAGAACAAATTATAGAAACAACTTTAAAAGAGATATATATATATATATATATATTAGCTTATATATATATATACATATTTATATATAAATACAATATAAATTATATAAAACTTAGCGAATAAAAAAAGTATATTAGATATAGATAAATTTAATATGGATAAATATGATACATCATAATTAAAAAATATAATATGATATCAATGATTAACAACTATCCTGTATTAAATATAATATTGTATTTGTTATATTTCATATTTAAAGCAATGAAAAAATCTTTTATGCTATTATTAACAAAATTTGACCAACATTTTTTAATTCTTTGATTTTTAATATTTTTTGTTAGTTTTGCTTTTATATTCTTATAAAAATTCTTCATTGTAAAAAATACAATTATAACATGTGTGAACAAAATAAACTATTTTATATAACATTTTAATTTGATTTTTTAAATTATCTTCTTTCCTGAGTTACCATCTCCTTTCATACAATTTATGTTAATGATTTAAGATTTTAAATTATATATAAAATATTATTCTATATATTAATTAAATATATTAAATGTATATATTATATTAATTCAATTGGACATAGCCGTTAATTTTATGAATTTATATATGTTAAATATAAACTACACTATAGTTTAAATATCATAATAATATTTTTATTTTTTTCTTCCTTTACTTTAATTTAATAATAAAAACAAGTGTTTATTCTTACCGTTACAAATGTCACAAATAATGTTTTTAATTACGAATTTCGATGTATTTCCAATAATCGATATTAAACTCGAGACTCGAGATACAAATTAAATAAAAAAAAATTAATCTATACATTTTCCAAGTAATTTTTCAAAGAAACTATGTGTTCTATTTTTTCAGAACAATTATTATTGAAGAAATCATATAAACTTGGTATAATTAATTTTTAACGAATTTATGTGTTATAATTTGTAATATGACCTTATACTTAAATGATTTTTGTAAATATATCGTTTCTCGAGATTTGATACTTGAGAGTCGAAAATTTCGAGAATTTTTTATAATTCGAATTTATTATTATTTTCAATTGAATTTCAACTGAACGATCAATCTTTGTTCGATCTTGTCAGTTGGTGCGCTTATTTGAAAGACAAGCATTACTTACAATGTGCTAATTATATTTTATTCAATTTC